CCTTGCCACTGACCCAAAGACAGCAGGTGGTTTTTTTTTTTCTCCTTGGAGACAATCCTGTTTGCCTGGCCAGGCCAGGGCAACTCCTGCTCTGCTGATTCTGCTGAGCTGAGGCTTTGGCCCTTGAACTTTAACTCTGCATCTTGTTGGGCCTGGGGGCGCTGATGGCTGACCTGGACTCGCATCAACTCGCTCTGGGTCCTGCTCACCAGCACCTCCTATTGGTGGGGATGTGTTCCTCTGAGCCAGGCCTGGGCTACAACTCCTCTTCCCTACCACAGCCCCGCCGTGTTGCCCCAGCTGGCTGCTACAGGAGCACAACAGGGAAAGGTCTGAGCCCCAGTTTTGGAGGCCCCTGTGGGGGTGTGGGGAGGTTAGGTAGGGGGTTGTGAAAAAGATTCTTCCAGGCCCAGCACAGAGCATTAAGCCCTCTGGAAGATTCACTGCCTGGGGTCCTCCAGGCCAGAGATGGCACTGTGGGGCTCAAACGAGCCTGGCCTGAGCTGCGGACAGAAGCCCTTGGTTTAGGGTGGACTGGTGGGTAGAGATATGTTCTTCTAACCAGGGCAGACACCCAGCTGGCTGGGTCCTTCCTCAGCCTTGCCTTCTTCCCATCCCAGCCCTCTCCATTCTTCTTGCTTCTGAACTGCTGGTCCCTTCCCCTCCCCTCCTTCCAACTATTTCTAGTTACCACTGACCCATGGCCATGGACTGACCGGACCGGCACAGAAAATAAAAGTTTGTTCCAAGTTGATGGTGTCATGTTCCCGGCCCAGGCCCTCCAGGTGGAGGTGCTGCCATGGGGAATGCTGGCTGTGCCTCTCTGGAGCCCCCAGCTGTGGAGCAGGGCGGGGTCAGGAGGAGCCCAGCTTCTCCTCTCGGGCATGTGTGGCTTCAAAACCCAGGCTCCTCTGCCAGCGGTGACAGGGGCCAAGCTGCCAATCTTCTCTGACCCTCAGTTTCCTCGTCTAGAGCAAGAGGTAAGCGCCTCTGTCACGGGGGTTGTGAGGATTCGGTGAGAGAACGTACGGTGAAGCTGTGATGTGCCCAGCACATGGGAGGTGCCCGGTGAACGGTCCCCGTGCTGCTTACCACTGCACCAGCTGCCAAGTCCATGTGGCGATAGGCAGGCTTGGAAGGAGAAACGTGGTGTTGACAAGTCTCTGTGATGTGGCTGTGCTGTTGGGTGTCTCCCTCACTTGTTTGATTTTGAAGCTACTAGATAGGAAAGAGGTGGTGTTCCATTTTTCCGGTTACGAAACAAGCTCAGAGAGCAGTGCCTCCAGTGGGCACGTTCATTCCTGCTCCGGCCCACGCCGCGGCCACCGTAGGCAGCTGCTCTGCTCCTTGCCCTTTGGCCCCTGCCTGTTCCTCGGTGTGCTGTGTCCTTCTTGCTTTTTGACCTGGTTCTGCTTATAGGGGCCTCTGCCCGCTGGTGCCTTCGGAAGTGGAGGACTCTAGCGTTGGGCAGCGCCCCCTGCTCTCTGTCCCCGTGGGAGGTGCTGCGGCGTCTGTGTTTCCACAGGGTTTCTCCAGGGTGGGACCTTGTTTTGCCTGAACTCTTTTGCCCCTAAGAGCATCACCGCTTTACTTTTGCAAGCTGTGGCCTCCACCCTGGCCTCTGTCCTCACTCAGGAGGTTGGTCTGGATCTGTGGTCGCCAGGCCCACACCTGCTGGCAGGGGCTGACTGAATACAATGTTTTACTGTCATTAACGGGGACTCCAAAGGTCCCCTACGGGTCTCAGCCCTACCAACTCTCACTTTGGAACAAAACACCAGCCCTTTTGTAGATGATAAAGAATAAAGTTGTTAACTGATCATCTCGAATGGCCAATCCTGCCCTTTCTGTACGTGCAGCTAACATTTGTGGTGTCTTCAGTTCAGTTGGGACCCCTGTTCTGGCTTACTGAACAGAATAAGGTAACAACATGCCACGGTGCAGAGGGAAATGCAAGCTTGGGGATCACGGGGCGTGCCTTGGGGAAAACGGGGTGAGAGCTGCGCCCCTGAGGAGACAGTAGGACTTGGACGCGGGCAGGTGGGCAGAGGGCAGAGGGCACACGCCCAGCCTGGAAGCACACAAACAGAGGCACGGAGCCCTGACTGTGCGTGGCAAGTCCCAGGCACTCGTTTACTGGTGCAGCTTGGAGACATCCCCGTTGTTGAGCAGTGGCGCCAGATGCAGAGCAGGTGTTGAGTGAAGTAAGGGGAATGGAGTGCGTGGTCGCTGGCGGTGAGCCCCAGGACCGGCCTTTCCTGGTGCACAGGACTGAGCTGTTAACTGGCCTGAAGCCTCAGGGCTGGATTTACGTTGCACCTGCTACTGTCTCCTGTGGTTTATCCCCAGCCCCTCCCTACTGACTTGTCCCTGCCTTTATTTTCTCAGCTGCAGTGGGGACCAGCCCTGGGCCAGGTACCGGGTACACTGGAAAGCGTGGTTGGGGACCCACCCCTGTACCTTCAAGCGGCTTCTCGGGAGGCACTGGATCTGGGGACAGAGTTACAGGGAAGGGCCAGGACCTGTTCCCATTAGCTGGTAGGTGCGGCTCTGCAGGGGCTCCATCCCAGCACAGGTACGAGGGACAGATGCTTAGTTCCCGTGGGGAGGATCCGCACTGAAGGCAGGCGTGGTTGGTTGTGAAGCAGGCAAGTTCTTCTGCCTTCTGCTCAGATGGCACTGAGAGATGCAGGGAAAGCTGCCCCTTCACACTGGGGTGTCTGTGAGGCCTAGTAAAGCCACCTCCCTTCTTTCTCCTGCCAGCCCCTGAGCCCAGAATCGCAGAGCAGGGCTTGCCTCAGGCCCCGTTCCAGCTAGGTTTTAGTGGAGAAGTCTGGTTTCTAAAGTTCAGGAATGAGTCTTTGGGGCATTGTTTAGGCTCAGACTTCAGATTAAAAAAAAAAAAACTAC